GCTTTTTAAAACCGTGCTTTAATGTGGTGTTATATGATAAAACTGGCTTTTAAAATTTCCTTTTTTACCTTTTGCTGAAAATGAAAATGTTAAAGCAGTTAGGCTTTTGAGTGAATAAGACTCATTTTGTCGTGTGTGAAAAAAAGAATCAGTACTTATTTACTATATAAACAATAACTTCATGATTGGCTCGCTAATGTACGATTTTCATTCACTTGTTATAAAGAGTCACGAACTCGCTCGTTTCTCACACTCGTGAATAAAAAATCGTACAAGCGAGCCAAACATTCAGTAATCTCTATGTCTTTTTTCAATAAGAAGCGAAGTGATAACGTCACAAAAACTAATTTGTCAAATTATAGGATTGGTTGGCATATCCAGAAAGAAAAAAATCTAAAATGTCCACTGGTTGAAAATCAGCCTGTTATTGCATATATTCTGATGACTCTATGTAAATCCTTCTAAAGTAGGCCTTAGAGCTCTCTAGTTATACTAGTACTAGTGTGCAGACGGACTATCTCCTATTTGAAAGGGTATTCTTATTGAAAGCTTTAATGCAAGCTTTACGGCTTGCAATAAAGTAATAGATTTGCCATCACATTCGCACGGGAAGTTTGGCACTTGGGAATAAAGATGAAGAAAACATGATAACCGTTTAAGGGTCTGTTTACATGGAGTGGGGGACCCCGGTCTAGTGGGGTTGGTTTCTTTTGTTTTCACGCTCTGGGGCACACAAGACAAAAGAAACCTACCCCACTAAACCGGGGTCCCCCACTCCATGTAAACAGGGCCTTATTCTTCTTATTAACCCCAATTGCAAACTGCCCGTGCAAGCGTGATGGCAAATCTAGAAAGCTTGAATAAATTACCAAGTACAAGGGTTTTCATTGCAGCTGAAAAGTGGATGGTTAGAAGTGCTGAAGTTGCTGGCTTTCATTCTCGTCAAAACGGGAACCTTTCGGAGCAAAAAACTGGTAGGAGATTTTCGTAGATGCTATATTTTAATTTGTTGAGATTTTTTCGAAAAAACATTAACTCAGTGAAAAATAGAAGTTCTTTTATCTCACCCCGCTTTTAGCATAAAGTTGTTGTTCTTGAAGTGCTAACTGTATTTGCCGTAGGTTTTTGATTACTCGTGATCACTTTCTTGCAATTAAACTTTGGGTGAGAATGCCCTTTCAGATAGGAGATAGCCCGTCTGCTCTCCTTTTCTATTTGTGGGTCAACTTTCACAAATGTGTTAGCGTAGCATTTCAACGTTAAATTTGACCAGAATCGGTATGTCGTTTTTACATTTTTTATACCTACAAGAGAATGAATAACATTTTCTTAAAATTCCACCATTTTTATTAACGATGCCAAAAATCCTAGCAATGGCGTTAAATCGTTCCTGCTGAAAAACGCGATTCAAAAACATAACCAACAGCATATAAATAGAGTAGGGCCACCTTAAAATTAAGGCGGCATGCTCAATTTTGGAAATGCACATTTACTGAAAAAGAATGAACTTCAAGACAAATTTCTCATTTCAAACATGGTAAAAGTTTCCCGACACCACTTGACCTAGGCCTGTTCAGGTCACTAGCTCTGTTTTGTTTTCTTGGCACACTTAGGACCTGTTTACACGAAAGTGGGAGACCTCAGTTACAGTATGACGTAACCCGCTCTGGTCGGGTTAAAAGTAACCCTCGTTTACGTGCAATCCTGGGGGTGCACTTTCTCGAGATTACTGAGGGTGCGTTTTTTGGGGAGAATCCAAATCCGGATATCCGAATCCAAAAACGGATCATGAATCCATAAAATCCACACTCTGGGTGGATTCTTCGGATCAAATCCAAGTCCGGATTTTTGAGATTCACAATGTGAGCGTTTTTTTGAAAAAAGTATTTTTGACAAGCGGTTTTCCGAACAAAAATGGAACACAACAGACGGCGTATACGTATGGCATTCTAACTGAACCTATGTTGGTGGCACCTTAACTTTGAGCCATTAGTTACATACATCTCAGATCTTTGAATTCACCAAACTCGGCAGAAAGCTCTACAGTGGTGTCTTGGACGTCGTAAGGAAGGTCTGATACACCTTCCCTTGTGAAGATACCAAGAAGGATATTTCCTTTGGCATATGCCAGTGACATTCTGTTGTGAAAGACTGCTACGATGTCGAACAAAACAGAAATTATTGATCAGGATCATTTTTTATTATACTGTTCACTCAGAAAGTTTAATTAATTGTCTTAATTGATATCATTTTTGCTTGGGGATCAAATGGATCCCACTCGTCTAAGGGATCCGGATCCCTTGAGCTGTATTTCGGACTACAAAACCTAGGGGAAAAATATCATTATTATTTTTGTTTTTGTTTTCGTGTTTTTTGGTTTTTGGTTTGTTTGTTTGTTTGTTTGTTTGTTTTTTATAAGGAAAAATTTCCAGGATTCCCAAATCTGGATCCCTTACTTGGGCGAATAAATAACTTATGTTTTAACCTTAAAAAAAGCAATTACCTTTTGGGATGCCAGGCAGGCTAAAATATTATACTCGTAAGGTTCACAGAATGCCGTGCACGTACAGACATGATATCCCACCCTCAAATTCAATCACAATCTTTTAGAGCTTTCATGATCAATGATTCAATATCCTGCTAAGGGTGTAAAAGCGGGAGCACGTAGGGTTATCGCTGGACAGTTATGCTGGCGCTTGTTTCACATCCTAAATTACCGCAAGCTTGATACACTCATGCAAACCTTGAAATAAGTTTCACTGCTAATATTTCAAAATTTTTGTATGACAATATATCTGTAAACAGTTTGAAAAGTTACGAGCCGGGCGTGGATCTAGGATAAATGCTGACCGATTTTCTCAACGAGCGCCGAAAACGCAAGCTTCTTGGGGGTCCAGGGGCATGCTCCCCCGGTAAATGTTTGAGATTTTAACTCCCTAAAGTCTCCCTTCTCGGGGTTCCGAGTCACTCCGATACGATATTGGCCAGTTCCATTCACCTTGGATAAAGCCTTGCAACTTGGAAAGTTTTTTATTTATTAAAAATATATCTATTTAAGAAAAATCTGACCGATTTCCGTAAAACGGTGAAAACCGGTGTGGATCCGCGCCTGCGAGCCATTGTGATTGTCATGCTCAAATTAAAAAATAGGTACACAAGCGTCTTCGGCTTAAAAAAAATTAATTTTAAAGTTCAAAGATTTTGCGAAATATCCATGCTTCGCATTTGGCTGCCTGTTTTCTTATCATACCGCCTTCGAAACACTCGAAGTGCAATCTCAGGAGAGCCTAATTCCCCAAACCCCTCCCTCTCACCAGGGACCTTGCGCCTTCGGCCTCGTTTGTTCCGTCTCATCGTTAAATCACACCTCCCGGTTAAAAAACCGGCTACGACCCTGGTTACTGTGTGTTATTAGTGATGGCTTTTGGACTCAGTGTTATATGTCCAGGCAGTTGAAAAGTAAGGTAAAGAAACTGTTAATTGATAATATATACATGACCAAGTAAGTGTCGTAAATACTTATACTGTATTTCAACGTAAACGTACGTGGTCAGCACGGCGATTCACAAGACGCCATTCCGGTCCAATAATAAACCTCCCTCCATAAAATCTCTCTCCCTCATTGAAAAATAACTCATATCAGTTACTAAAAACTGCCAACAGGTGCAAATGACAATGATTTAAATCGGTTTTTGGATTTTATCTCACTTCGTCAACACACTTCAACAGCAATCGCTTAAATCCCTTATCACTTTAATTTATTTTAGCTTACTCTGAATAAAAAAAAACTGCGGTTATCTTTGTAAAACCAAAATTAAAATTGAGGAACGGAGTAAGTGCCACTAAATGTCTCTATTTAATTTTCTATGCGTGATTAATTTCCTGTTCTTAACTACTTTAACTTAAATGTAGTAATAGAACGTAAAAGGAGTCCGTAGTCACTCGATAGCCAAGTGTCAACCAAGAATTTACGTGCGAACTTGCTCTATATTCATGTTTGCTTGGCAAATCACTCCACTGCACGGCTACTAATGTGTCTACAGCATTCAGCTTAATGCTAACAACAGGTGGTAGTGAATATGATTCGTTATTCTTAAAAAGACTCTGCTTGTCTGATTAGGTTCTTATTCCCTGAATTAAAAAATCTGCAGACTACCACAATCGTTTTCAATATCGTCAGTTACGAATCGTCATCGTCGGTTACTTTGTGCTGAAAATAAATGCAGGAAACTGGCCACGGTTGGTATCAGTTCCATTCTTAGAAATCGATGAATTGCTAAATGAAAACTCGATTCCTTCAACTTCATCCGTGTACTTTCCGTTTATCACACGCCACGATGGCAGGCCCTCAATATGTGATACAATCTCATATGTTTTGCCCCTCTCAAGGGAAACTGGGACATCAAACATGACATCAAATCCATAGTAGTCATTTGTCTCATCTTTCTCAGAGGAATACCTGCCCGTCAGTTTTAGCAGAGACACACCAATTGTCCCATCTTTCGTCCTAACTTCTAATGAAACTGTGTATATGCCACCTTCACTACCAAGATGCTGCACTCCATGTAAAATGACAGGTTTACTGACAGTTACGTTAATGGCATCAGAATTACCAGAGTAGTTCCAGGGAAACTCAAAGATACCGCCAGGCTTTTTAAATCTGTAAACTCGATGCAAAAGACCAACTCTAATGGAATTCATGAATGGTAAAGACGACTCTAAACCGAAACCACTGTAGTGTTTCATCATCAAACCAATCTCTTTTCTAGTCAGAATATCACAATCCACAACAACCGAGGCAAACACCTTCTGCGACATCACTGGAAACCGTATTGCTTTAACAATTTCCTCGCCAAGAATCCTTCTTTTGACCACGCCATCAGTGGTCAGCCCTTGCTTTTCCACTTCTTTGGTGGCCCAGCGATCAACAGCCTTGAATAAATCCACTTCCTTTACATTTAATCTCTCTCTTTTCACCACAGACTCAACAACAGATTTCTCAAGCGTGACAAATTCTTCCGACGTCAGAGCATTCTCGGTGTGCGTCTCTATAACTTCCCAGCACCGTTCTTCCAAATCTTTATCCTCAAATTTCTGAGCTTGCGGCAGGACGGAGAACACATTCGATGCCTCTAGATGTTCTTGGAGATATTCAGTGCACTTGTCTGCGAGTGAAGGTACCAGATACTTTTTTGCCAAGTAGAGAACTTGCATGACATTACTTCCGCTCAAGTTCACTTCATCGCTGTACAGAAAACGAAAAAACTCTAAGAGACTCTCATAATCACAGTCAGGCAATTGAACAGTTCCTGAAGTCTCCGCCATTTCACCGTAGAACATGGCATAGAAAACAGGACTGCTGATTGCAAGTATAAACTTGTGAGCTGGAATGCACTTCTGACTCTTCCGGTTTTCACTTTCGTTATGCGACGCAGGAACTACGAACTTCACATCGCTTAATAACTCGTTATTGAAAATAAATTTGGTTCTTTCGCTGATAGTTGAGCGTTTTGTCTGCCAGTTATCATCAAGAGTAGCCATTGCAGTGATTGCAGCTTTCTGATTACAAGGTATACGTAGCTTGAACTGTCGTCAACCTTCCCGTCCTCTCGAGTACGGCTACGTTTCTCAATCTAGTACCCAGGTTCTTCTCGGTTTTGGCACAGGTAGCCCATTCTTTGTTTGAATTACCGTCTTTTTCGAGCAAAGAGTAACAAATAGGGCCAGACCAGACAAACCAGTTATTTCGTGTTCAAAATAACATCTTTATCACACCTATGATTAGTAACGGATAAAAAAGATAAGGTAGGCATGTACATAAAATGTGCACGGCAACTTTTCAGCAGCATTTGAAGTTTGAGCAACTTCAAAATTAAAGCCACCACCATCGTCCAACCACACCTTATTTCATGAGCTGGATACATAAGGGGTCCCCTGGTCCCCTGGTGGTGGTTGACTATATAAGTCATAGATATAAACCAGCTATAATTCTGGCAGTCGACTGTTACTTAGCCTCCATAGCAAGCGTTTCCGTTTGGTTTCAGAGCAAAGAATTACCGAGGGACAGGATTTTCAGATTTGCCCGTGCAAGAAATGGAACGAGACTCTTACATGTAGTGCATCTCTCTTGAGGGATCTCTGCAGTGGCAGCATTAATGATACACATGATTCCATCTGCTTCTGCTAATGCACCACCTACAGCTGCCAGTGCTCCTGTATAGATCAGAAGGAAGGGTTGTTTTTAGTCTTCAAATGGTTTTTTTGTTGATATCAAAACAACCTTAGATAAGCGACTGCCCTGTACGGGAAGATTTTAATATAGTGGTCGCTTATGGTGGAAGGAGGTCGTTTACAAGAATCAAGCAACAGGAGGTCTGTTACAAGAAGCAGAGGTCCAGAAACATTTTCTCATCTTCTTTTTGAAAGTCGAAGATTAGATTCGTTCAAGTTACGATATTAATTTGTAGTTCCATGTTGTCACTGAAAGTTCTTCATAGAAGCCCTCTAATGGTTAGCCTCCAACGCAGACGTTCTTAGGGGTTCGACACGCGTTCCTGTCCCACTAGTTCTTAAGAGTGGTTGTCAGAGAAAACCGGGCAAAATGTTAAAAATGTCAACGGAAGGGGCTCAACAGAATAAGTTCATACTAACATCATAGATAGCTTTGGTGGAGTGGTGGACAAATATAACAAACATAAGATCTTATCCCAGGGGTGGGGGTACTCCCTTATATAGGCTATATAGGTATGTGCTGCGCCAATTGGTATGGTTTTTTAGCCGTTTTAGACTGTATCAATTTTGACCATTTTGGTCTGAAATAGGGTATGGTTTGTGCACCCTAGTCTTGAATTGGGTATGTTTTTTGAAAGAAGTTACTTCTTTATCATTAGGCGATATAACTATTTCCCTTTTAATGTTTACGCCAACCGTGTACTTTCCGTAACAGCTTGTCAGGTCTGAAATAGGATAGGGAAAATCACAGATTTTGGTCTGAAATATTTCATTATCCCTTTCTCTGACTAATTAGCATTAAGGTATGGGACGAGATCCCTGTCGAGGAACACGACATAGGACTCCGAGTTCTAATTATGTCCAAGAAAGGGAGGGAGGGAGGGCTGACCCTTTTCACTGAGACTTTTTTCGTACTGACAACTTTGCATATATTATTTAGGTTTATAAATTATAATGCCTAATACATCATCGCACGGGGTAATGAATATTACACGACTTTGAATAGAAGAGGGTATACACGTAAACCTGTTAGTCCGCTAATTGGCTGAAGGCCACCTTGTTGTGGTGGCGGACTGTCTGGTCTTTGTCTATTAATTACTCACCAAATGTTTCTGTACTCATCAAATGAAATTCGCCCTACAATTCGTGCGTCATTTGTCCGTACCCTCAACTAAAATAAGACCAGACACTACAAAGCTGTCTTGAATCTGAGCGCGTTTCCTAAAATATAGCGGAGCTCCACGCTCGCACGGAGTGTAGTCCAATACCTAAGAAAATATGGTGATATACCCATCCGAGAAATTTTGGTAATCACATGACCGTACGCCCGTCCGTCCGCATCACAGGCATACCAACGTAAAACAACTCAATGAACAGGTATGTCAATTGGCAAAGCAAATACAACTCGAGGTTATTTTGGCGGGAAATCGCATAGCCAGCCGCCTCTTGTGAAGCGGAGACAACTAAAGACTCAATAAAGACGAAAACGGAAACCGGAAATTGTTTCTGTATCCCTGTTGTCTAAGGTATTAAGCTTAGATTAATTGTCATGTCCACAAATTTAATTTGGAAAATAGAAAAAAGAGAAAGTAGGCGACAGGCCAGCGAAGCTCAACGAGAAAATGAGCGGCAGTGAGCTAGAGCGAGAGAAAAATAACAAAGGAGACATTTTCTGTTGGAAGAACAACATGAAAATTTTGTAGCGCAGGTGAGAAAATGAGAAATGCTAGCGGCCACCAAGGTGAAAATGAGCGCGAGTAAAAAAGAAAGTGAACAAGAACACGTTCGACATTTCCTCCGTCCATAAAACGTGGAAGTTTCTGAAAGTTTCATGTTGTAGTCGTGCATAACAACGGCAAACAAATGTTCAAAAAATGTGTGCTGCACGTGCAAAGTTGCTTTTTTTGCTAATTTGACCCATTCGCCGCTTAGCATTACATGATTTTATATTTTGTTTGAGCAAACTATAAATATTATCGTGAGCTTCGCTTTTAGCCCTGGCTAAATCTATATAATTTTATTAGCTTGAATTTAACATCAACTTGACTGAAAAGTCACTAACACAATTGTAACTGATACATTTTTCCTTTTAGAACATAATTTTCTCTACTACAATGTACAAAATGTACCTTAAATACAGGGCTTAATGCGCTCACTCGGTTATTCTACTGAGATCTCCGTCTCGAAGAAAACAAGGATGAAGTCCTCCGTGATCCCGCACCTATTTGAAAGATTGTTTGTGACTAGCTGAGAAAACAATAGGGATTGTCACGTAACAATGCCCCTATCTCTGAAAACAAGGGGACCAGTGAAATGAGAGGTTTAGAAAGGTGCAGGTCTACTGGTCCTCCAACGCAAGTTTCATGAAGTTTTTCGCTTGATCTTTTCACTTTCCCTCAAAGCGACAACTGATCTGAGTATTTTCTCAACGTACTTCTACGTAATTTTCATATTTGTAACTATGTTTTACCGGTGCATTTTTTACTTGCAAGAGAGGAGATTTGCTCAACTTTTTGCTGCGCTAGCTTTTTGCACATGATAACAGCTCCATGAAAGCACGATAATCAATAGGCTCGACATACAAAGGTACGACCTGACGCTCAATTAAGGCACGGTACGTCAATGCTCGAAAAATGCAAGATAAAGCCACAATCTATGTACTTTCAATGGATTTAGCTCGTTGCACGATTTTCGGCTTCACGATGCACGATGACAAAATTTGATCTATTTTGTTACGGCTGTGATCACCAAGACCGTGCGCTTAGCCATTTGGCGACACTTTTAGCAAGCCTTTGACTTGAATCTCAGACATTACTTTACCGCACCTTTTTCAAACCTTTGACTCGAATCTCAGACGACACCTTTGATAGGGGTACAAGGCTAATCAAATAACACCTTTCACGCGCGCCAAAGGTAAGGGTCAAAGGCGTAAAAAAAAACGGCCTTTATCGCCGGAAGACCCGCCTGAAGACGACGTCAAAGACAGTTTTTTGTCGCGCGTCAAAGGTGTGCAAAGGGTGGTCTTTATCGCGCATTGGACTGCGCCTTTGAGGCTCGGTAAATCCGTTACTTCGTCCCGTGATTTTCATTTGGCTTGGCAAATCATTCCAGTCATCGCTAGCATTCAGCCTAAGCACAGGTCCTGATAGGTCGTAGTCTGGAAGTTAATGAGGTATTGGTAGAGAAAACAGGTATCTCCTTAATAGACTCTGGCTTGTTAGATTAGGCATTTTCCTAAATAAAACATTTTGCAGTCTACCACTTACGATGATCAACAAATGCAATATCATTATTTAAGAATTAAACTACATTGTGCTGAAAATAAATGAAGGAAACTGGCCAGTTTTGACATTAGTTCCATTCTTAGAAGAACCTGAAGAGATAAATGAAAACTGGATTCCTTGAACCTCATCAGATTCTTTTCCATTAGTCACACTCCACGANTTCCTTTTAGAACATAATTTTCTCTACTACAATGTACAAAATGTACCTTAAATACAGGGCTTAATGCGCTCACTCGGTTATTCTACTGAGATCTCCGTCTCGAAGAAAACAAGGATGAAGTCCTCCGTGATCCCGCACCTATTTGAAAGATTGTTTGTGACTAGCTGAGAAAACAATAGGGATTGTCACGTAACAATGCCCCTATCTCTGAAAACAAGGGGACCAGTGAAATGAGAGGTTTAGAAAGGTGCAGGTCTACTGGTCCTCCAACGCAAGTTTCATGAAGTTTTTCGCTTGATCTTTTCACTTTCCCTCAAAGCGACAACTGATCTGAGTATTTTCTCAACGTACTTCTACGTAATTTTCATATTTGTAACTATGTTTTACCGGTGCATTTTTTACTTGCAAGAGAGGAGATTTGCTCAACTTTTTGCTGCGCTAGCTTTTTGCACATGATAACAGCTCCATGAAAGCACGATAATCAATAGGCTCGACATACAAAGGTACGACCTGACGCTCAATTAAGGCACGGTACGTCAATGCTCGAAAAATGCAAGATAAAGCCACAATCTATGTACTTTCAATGGATTTAGCTCGTTGCACGATTTTCGGCTTCACGATGCACGATGACAAAATTTGATCTATTTTGTTACGGCTGTGATCACCAAGACCGTGCGCTTAGCCATTTGGCGACACTTTTAGCAAGCCTTTGACTTGAATCTCAGACATTACTTTACCGCACCTTTTTCAAACCTTTGACTCGAATCTCAGACGACACCTTTGATAGGGGTACAAGGCTAATCAAATAACACCTTTCACGCGCGCCAAAGGTAAGGGTCAAAGGCGTAAAAAAAAACGGCCTTTATCGCCGGAAGACCCGCCTGAAGACGACGTCAAAGACAGTTTTTTGTCGCGCGTCAAAGGTGTGCAAAGGGTGGTCTTTATCGCGCATTGGACTGCGCCTTTGAGGCTCGGTAAATCCGTTACTTCGTCCCGTGATTTTCATTTGGCTTGGCAAATCATTCCAGTCATCGCTAGCATTCAGCCTAAGCACAGGTCCTGATAGGTCGTAGTCTGGAAGTTAATGAGGTATTGGTAGAGAAAACAGGTATCTCCTTAATAGACTCTGGCTTGTTAGATTAGGCATTTTCCTAAATAAAACATTTTGCAGTCTACCACTTACGATGATCAACAAATGCAATATCATTATTTAAGAATTAAACTACATTGTGCTGAAAATAAATGAAGGAAACTGGCCAGTTTTGACATTAGTTCCATTCTTAGAAGAACCTGAAGAGATAAATGAAAACTGGATTCCTTGAACCTCATCAGATTCTTTTCCATTAGTCACACTGCACGATAATGGGCCTCTGATAAGAGATACAATCTCGTACGTTTTACCCTGCTCAAGGCAAACAGGGTGATCAAACATGACATCAAATCCATAGAAACCATTTGTCTCATCTTTCTCGGAGGAATACATGCCTGTTTGTTTTACCAGAGAAATACCGCTATTTGCCACATCTTTCACTCCTACTGAAACTTTGTATTCGCCACTTTCACTACCAAAATGCTGTACTCCGTGTAAGGTAATAGCTTTGCTGACAGTTAGATTGAGGGCATCAGGATTACCACGATAGTAGTGCCAGGCACCATTAGGCATTTTGGGCGTGCTTACTTCTGTAACTCTGTAAATTCGATGCAAAAGCCCACGCTGTCTAGGGGAATGCACAAATGAAAAAGATGCCTCTAAACCACCACCACCGTAGTGTTTCACCATAAAAACAATCTGTTTTTTAGTCAGAATTTCATAATCCAAAACCGAAGAAAACTCCTTCTGCGACATCACTGGAAACCTTATCGCTTTCACAATTTCCTCTCCAAGAATCCTTCTTTTGACCACGCCATCAGCGGTCAGCCCTTGCCTTTCCACTTCTTTAGTGGCCCAGCGATCAACAGCTTTAAATAAATCCACTTCCTTTACATTCAATCTCTCCCTTTTCACGACAGACTCAACTACAGATCTCTCAAGGGTGACAAATTCTTCAGAAGTCAGAGCATTCTCGGTTTGCGCCTCAATTACTTCCCAGCACCGTTCTTCCAAATCTTTATCCTCAAATTTCTGAGCTTGTGACAGAACAGAGAACACATTCGACGCCGCTAGATGTTCCTGAAGATATTTAGTGCACTTATCGGCGAGTAAAGGTACCAGATATTTCTTTGCTAAGTAGGGAACTTGCATAACATTACTTCCGCTCAAGTTCACTTCATCGCTGTACAGAAAACGAAACAACTCTAAGAGACTCTCATAATCACAGTCAGGCAATTGAATAGTGCCTGCAGTCTCCGCCATTTCACCGTAGTACATGGCATAGAAAACAGGACTGCTGATTGCCAGTATAAACTTGTGAGCTGGAATGCACTTTTGACTCTTCCTCCTTTTACTTTCGTTATGCGAGGCAGGAACTACGAACTTCACATCACTTAATAATTCGTTATTGAAAACAAATTTGGTTCTCTCGCTGATAGTTGAACGTTTTGTCTGCCAGTTATCATCAAGTGTAGCCATTGCAGCGATTGCAACTTTCTGATTACAAGGTATACAAAGTTTTCTCTCTCGTCAACCTCAAGTACGCTACGTTTCTCCATCTAGTACCCAGGGTCTTCTCGGCTTTGGCACAGGTCACCCATTCTTGGTTTGAATTACAGCAAGTGTGTCGGTGGGGCTCTAGCGGGCCTGGGCGTTATCACTAGCGTTTAGATATTGTAGATGCAGCCACTGAGGAGGCTCCTGAACTCCGGAAGTGCAAGCATTGTGGCCACGTAGAAGCGGAACAACCCGGCTGCATTATGATTTGCAAGGGGTGCGCAGTGGAGTCTAACGATTGGCGAGATGCTAGCGCCAAACATAAATGTTTTAACTTCTGTGAGAACTGCTGCAGCTGCCGTGTCTGAAGTGCAACAAAGCGCCTGCCAGCAGAAAAGAACACCAGAATTCTTCCAAGATGAGAATCCACCACTGTTTGTCGACGCAACTGTACGGTACACAGAAAGCCGGCTAGATCACCGGTTCCTCGCCAACGATCGCCGGTACATCTGCCGTGACGGTGTGCTATTCCTGTGATTGAATGGTTTCTTGGTCCAGCGCTTATCGCAGGTAGTATGTGACTTTTTTTTCCTCTTTTCACCAAGTAAGGGAATCCAGATTCCGGAACGCCGGAATGTTTTTGTTTGGTGCAATCCGGAATCCAAGAAGTTCTACTGGCAAAGAATCGATTCGGAAATCGGGAATCCAAGCTCCACTGACAAGAAAATAAGAAACTCATTGGAATCCAGTACCGGGGAATAGGAATCCACACTGAAATCCAGAATCCAAGGCTATCTTTGATTACCTTACAAGTACATGGGGCGATTTCTTTGACATTTTCCCCGGCCGTTTGAGTTATTTTTAAAGCTGTCATTTTGCTGGATTGAAGGATCTACTGGAAAATTGTTTGGTGGAAAGTACGGAAAAGTGGTACATGATCATGAAGGCCACTTGAATGTTCAAGTCAAATTTGTGTTTTCTTGGCGCCTATGCCACTTCCGACCTGTTTGAGAAATGATTTCCATAGAGCTCTTTCAATATGGCGGCCTATTACCTTAATATCTTCTTGGCTATTGTCTTTTAAATGTATCATAATTAGCCTTTCTGGCCTCGTTTGAAAGTAAGGATTCTTTTGTATTTTACACATGCTGAAAAGGCCAGAAAGTCTAATTATCATACATATAAAAGAAAACACTCCATCAATTAATAGGCCGTCATTATGAAAGATAGATAGATAGATAGATAGATAGATAGATAGATAGATAGATAGATAGATAGATAGATAGATAGACAGATAGGTAATCTTTATTTATCCACGGTACAAAATTCGTCAGCTTTAAAAATGCCTTACACTAATATAATAAAAATATTTAAATAAAAAAGCTGCTTTCCACGAATGCCGTGCCTTACAGTTCTTTGAGTAATCGTTTAAATTGCCCAAGGGACTCTGCTTCCCTTAAGTTACAAGGAAGACTGTTCCAGAGAATGGCGCCACTATAGCTGAAGCTGTTTTAGTAATAGTTTGTGCGCGGTAATGGAACATTGAGTTTATTTTCAGAGTCCCTTAGGTTATATGCGACTTCTCGCCTTTCAAATTTAGAACTAAGATAGTTTGGAGCCAACCCGTGCAGAGACCTGTAAACCATCGTAGCTCTTTGAATTTGTTGCTGGCAAGCTAGGTTTTTCCCCCCTAGAAGTTTGAAAAGGTGACCAGCATTACGTCATAGCTTGAGTAGGTCAAAACACGGGCTGCTCTGTTTTGTAGCTCTTGAACCTTATTCTGTAAAGTTATCCCACAGTTTCCCCAAACAATGTTACAATAATCAATGCAAAGTGTGGCTGTACTAAAGCTTGATATATTAGTTGTAAGGTCGCCTGAGGGACAAGGTGCCTTATTCGTTTTATGGCCTCAATACCAGAAGCGACTTTCTTTGTTACTTTCTCAATATGGCCACTCCAATCAAGTCTGTCATCGATGGTCACTCCAAGTAATTTTGCAGTAGTGACCTGGCTAACTTGAAAATCAAATGAAAGAGGTTTATTAGGCAATGGCTTAGCCTGTCCCAATTCACGCGCTCATATTTTCGCATGCCTTTCACTTGTTGCGGGATGAATACAGTTTAGAAGAAAAACCAGAACATTTTGACAAGTCGGGATGCCAGGATTGGTGTGTAACATGTGGGGATCGAACAAATAATGTCAGAAAGTATTGTCTGGCTTTATGCAATCATTGTCAACAGGACGATTAATGTAATTAAGGGATTGGTCATTGTGTAGAGAAAGGGGTCAGGGCCGGTGCAATAGGGAGAGCTAGACAGGGCCAATGGTTTTTATGTTGGACTGACGTTTAGGGTTAACCGTGTACAGCCTATGCCAAACGTCGAACTTTTCATGAGACGAGTTTAGGTCATAGAAAGTTCGACGCCTGGCTCAGTTTATTTCGTCTGAATGAATCTGGATCGTGCAACATGTTCTATCCGTCTGCTTCATATCGTCAGTCGGGACAAACGTCGATCTTCACATGCGACCAACTAAACTAATAATTAAAAATTCATGATGATGATGTATATTTAGCCTCGTTCGGGAGACTCTGATTCAGTTGATTAAGTCGACACATCCTAAGTTCGACCTCGTCTGACCGAACAGACCTTGGTTCGTCTCATGAAAAGTTCGTTGTTTGGCCTGGGCCTTAGGGCTCTTTCCAAAAGTCAGAACTGGCCGGCCAGACCGGTCGCGGAAAATGAAATAGTAGCCTTTTCTGAAAAGTTTTACTAAAACTCATCACTGCCGCGCAAACCACCATTTAGGGATTAACTGATCTGGCTGATAGTCCGGTCCAATAGTTGAATTCTCCTTTCGACTTGACAGGTCTGGCCGTCCAGTTCTTACAAATGGTGAGTGCCCTTTGATTCACACGCCCGCATATATACTAACTAAAGGAAACCATTGCATCTCACTAGTAGGCGTGAAGGAAAAAAAAAAACGCGAACGATATAACCCACCTTAGTCACCTCCGCAGCCATTTTAGGGTCGTCACGCAATGCGCTTCCCCAATGTAAGACACGCGTTCCCAACGTCGCGAATAGTTTGGATATGAAAACCAAATTCTGATTGGTCACATCAAGAGCCATATGAGTTACATAAGGGAAAGGAATGTAGTTTGAAAGAAAGCAGTCGTTTTGGGGGAGGAGCGTTGCGTGACGACCCTAAAAAGGGCTGCGAAAAAATAAATAAAAAGAAATAAATGGTCGGCCCCTTTTAAGAGTTTATAGACAGCGAAAAAAGAGTGAGTGATAAAATTCAGCAGGAAACAACCTTTATTTTTAATTACATTTCAAAGTTTGTTTGCTTTGGTTAGACTGCAAGACTGTTACTTTTCTTTAAAAACTTCCTGAGGTAACACAATAGAGAGCTTTAGATTCTGAGACGAGGACGACTAGGAGTATGAGATTTTCTCAATACTGAGTATAGTTTGTACATCTGTGCCTCCTTTTGTGTTTGCTGTGCTATTAATTCAATTTTTTAGCGTGTTGAGCGGTTATTATTATTGTTTCCCTCAATTTGGTGGCAGTTCCCACTATTTTTATTTTGAGTGATGATAAACTTCATCACACAGCTCCTTGAAGAACAAACTAGTACGAAAAACGAAAAGAAAGACCAGTGTGCTTTGAAAATACAGTGCCAGATCCAGACCTTGAGGTAAGGAGGGGGGGGGGGGGGTAGTCTCCGAAAAAAAATTTTTTCAGCACTTCAGGCCTCAGTTTGGTCTAAAAATAAGGAGGGGGGGCGGGCCCCCTGGGCCTCTCCCCTGGAACCGCCACTGAAGCTGGATTGCATCTATTCATAGCATCTACCCACGTAATGGCTGCTTTCCCCGCCTTAGCTTTAGCCCTTTTTCTTTTTTTTCGTTATAATTAGCAAAATACTAAACCTAAAAATTTAAAAGTACACTACATTTCTAATAGCTACTATTTAGACTGTAAGTTTCTATGGTTATCTTTTTAAGTTAACTCGAAAAGGTTTCTTTTCACATTTTTTTTGCCAAATGTTATAACGCGAGCTAAATGTTATTCACCTCCCACTGAAAGATGATGATAATAATAATATAGAAGCTATTGCAAAAGATCAAAAGATTAAACTACTTTGTTTAGTTCAATTATTGATAGCTTTGAATTTATGAGCTTTGTAAAAGCAAACTTGCCTGAATTTCAGTTGTCTCCTCGCAATCGCGTCTCGAGGAGACGGTTGAAATTCGGGCTAAAAGTAAACGCATTTAACCTTGAAGAACTTTTTACTCAATTTGCTCAGCTTGGTGCATATAATAGCGTTACAAATTGGTAGTTATTCCTTGTCAATCCAAATCTTTTTTTAGAACCAGTTCCATCAGTTCTAGAACAGTTAATTTAATTAGATTAGAAACGGGGTATTGGCAACTCACCAATGGCCTCAGTATACTCTTAGTCTGGTGCAAAAACCACAAGAAAAGAAACTAGTTCATTAAAAATCTACTGTACACTTTCTACAATAAATATTGTTCACTCCTTTACTTAGCCAGGCCAAACACGTAGGTCTGACAAATGGCTAAACGTTCACCCTATTTGTCAGATAGAAAAGCTAAATTAGCTGACTTCTTAACCCTGATAAAGGAATGCTGGATATTTGTGGAGCAATTTGTTCAGTGTGTTGTGTACACTGTAAAAAGTTAAAAAAAGATTGTTTCCAAATTCCTTAATAGTGGTTCAAATCTCTCAAAACCATCTTGAACAATACAACATCTCTTTCAAGTCAAATCAAGGCTAGTATTGTAATGACAGTATAAGTCATGCTCCAAATTTCCCTCTATCCCATCAGGATTAACATCTAATTTTTGCACAGTCAGTGAATTATGCTTATTATGTCACTTCATACTTTCATTAATGGCACAGATTCTCACATCAAATTTTTACATTGCAATCCACCAATGACAATATAAGGTAAATATT